GATTTTGTGGTGGTACTATCAAGAAATTTGCTGAATTATTTATTTTTTTATATAATTAGGATACCATGTTAGATGCAGTTGTTGTTACAGGAAATGTTTTTTTTAGAAAACTTAAGAATTTGAACATTTCCAAAGATGCAAAAATAAACAAGACATTTATTTTTGTTATTAAAAATAAGAACAAAAATACTACAGAAATTGAATAATCAAATGTAAAATAAAACACGGCATAGTCTTCACAGTATAAATTAAATATAGATTTTTTTTCTTTTTCCTCTGATTCCTTGGCTCTTGTGGAGTTAAATGCATACTTTTTCCTCTGATTCCTTGGCTCATGTGGAGTTAAATGCATACCAAAATGTATGCAATTAAAAAAAAATGTAAATCATATTACTAGCGGTTTTAAAATCATCTTAAAATGTCTTTGCTGCCAGGTCTAGCTCCTCATTTTGCTTCGTTTATGCTTGGTCCCTTAATTGCTGCTTGCTACATTGTTGTGTATATTTTGTGTTGTGTTCTGAATCGCGGCTGCAGATGTAAGTAACGCCTCGCTGTGTCTCTTGCAGTATCATGGGCCTCTACGCATCCGTGGTGCTGGTGATCGGGAAATTCGTCCGCGAGTTCTTCAGCGGCATCTCGCACTCCATCATGTTCGAAGAGCTTCCGTGCGTCGACCGCATCCTCAAACTCTGCACCGACATCTTCCTCGTGCGGGAAACCGGCGAGCTGGAGCTGGAGGAGGACCTGTACGCCAAACTCATCTTCCTTTACCGCTCGCCAGAGACCATGATCAAGTGGACGAGGGAGAAGACCAAATGAGCCTGCTGGGATTGCCTTAAAACCCAAAGGATGCTGCTTCTCGCAGGAAGGCGGCTCGTCGGGACAGGTTCGACTGCCAATACAATGAGACCTACAGCTGTACCAAAGAGCCCTGATTCAGAAGCTGCCACGACCAATGGGATCTTTAATGAGCTCTAGCGCCACCTGTCTGTCGGGAGATTGGTTAGTCGCGCATTGTGCAATATGCTGTCCTGGTAGCTGGCCGTAAACTTGAACAAAGAAAGGAGACGGTGACTGAACACTAGCCACTTTTTTCTTCTGAGAAAACTGGACCCAGAAGTGCTTGGGTTCGTGAGACGACATGACATTGAAATTATGATTTTTTTTAGTTTTAGGCTTGAACGGAGGACTGAAGGGTTCTCGGGAGGATTATACCTTCATCTGGATGTCACATCGGTGTGATTGTGGATCAATATCATGAGCATAAAGCACATGCTGGAAACCAACTATTGTCTTATTTGTCCCGTCTACCTGTTGCACTTTTAGTTTTCGTTACGTGCATTTCAAGGACCATTTTGTATGCATTAAAAAGTCTACAGAAACTCGGATCTAAAATATGCAAAAAATCACAGATTCTCTTTATTCAGTGG